TATGACCAGGTGCATGAATGAAATAGAGCGACCCATCTTTGAAAAAGTCATATGCATAATCGAATGTACCAAGCGGTAATATCCACTCGTCTACATCGATTGGTGGTAGTTCCAGTGTCTTTATGTTGCCAGAGAAGTGTTCTGCATGAAATTCAGATGACTCATCGTGTGGCCATCCTGGTGAAATTCGCTGCTGTGTTCCAGGCCCGAAGATTGCGACTGTATCGCGAGTAATGACATTGGCATCCGATTCAAAAAATTGAGAAATAGGATAACAGTGATCGAAATGTGCATGTGAATATGCCACATACTTGATTTTGGCTCCTTCTGGAATCAACTTCTTGACGGCTACATCTATTGGTTCTTTGCTGAGGTCTGGTATAAAGGAGCTGCAATTTTTGAGAATTGTCGGTGTATACGAAGTTTCTGTATGCGACATTCCCAGATCGAACAACATATATGTATTTGATTGTTGATGTCGAATGAGGAAAGCATAGTCACGCATGTAAGCCTTATCATTTTTTTTTGCTGATGCATGCACCATCGACATTGTCGCCATTAATCCACCCCGCGACAACAGTGTCACATCGCAAGCAGAGTTTGATGCTGGAGGAGAATGATAAGCCATGTTTTGTTGATGTATTTGTTCGTAATGTGAAATAAAAACTGAATGATGATAAATGTGCGTCCCTTGTCTGATTCTTCTCAAGATTTGAATATAAAATTATATGTGCACGACTATTTTTTGATTTTAGAAACAGAGACCTGCGCAGTTATCATATGACTGAAAAAGCTGACACGATAAGGAAAGGCAAATTGACTTCCTTTTTCTCTTTCTTCTCGCGTAGGGATGATTTTTGCGTGCAGTCGATATGAAGTATTCACTAAATAAATCGAAATTAATTCATCGACTTTCAACAATTGGATCAAGTCATCGAAAAACAGTAGTTGTTTTTGTTAACAAGGTGAATACGAGCAAAAAACTGAAGAAACAAATTTCATGACATTTGAATCTCGTTATTCGAGAGCTCAGTGCTGTTTCTCTCACCAATAAGAAGATCATGTCGAATGGTTTTAGTTAGCTAAATTTATAAAATAATCTTCGAGTAGTGTCAACTTAAGGATTAATGGGACTCAACGAAAAGAGAACTATAATTTAATCTAGTTTCAATCATTCACTTTAATTCTTTCTCAAGTGAGAGGTCTTCGCTACTCAACTTTTCTCGAAAATTTCATGATTCTAGTCATTAACAGTGAGATGACGCGTATGGAAGTGCTCTGAGAGAATGGAACCTTTCTTTTCGTCTAAAATCCGTTGCAATAAGATCACTCTACTTTAAGTTGATACTGGCGACAGGTCTTAGCGAGCTCTACATGTCGTCAACGTACCAAGCGAGAGATTTGCAACTAATATATTTTTTATCCAGTAGTGATACTTTTCTTGGCATCTCTTACAAACAAAAATCACAAAAAAATATTCTGTTCGTTTCGATATATTTAATTTTATCTAAGACAAACAAAAAAACTATTCATTTTGCAACACCAAGATCAAGATAAATGAGATGTCGTTGTGGTAATAAATGTTTAATATATCGTTTATAATCAAAAAAATCTGGTAAATTTTCAATTGATAAATTTTCATTTTTAATTAAAAAATTTAATAAATCTTCAGATTCGTTTTCATCTAAAGCATCTTCCATTGATGACATTGTTTGAACAAATAATTTTTTATGTAAATAATTTTTATTATTTTGATCTAGCTTTTTAAAACATTTTAATAAATATTGTTCATCAGCTGCCTTATATTCATTATTAAGTAATTTTGGTATAATTATATCAGCAAAATCATATATATGAATTAAATGATGTTCAGCATCCATTTCTTCTCGTTCATTTGTACATGATAATGGATGATAACGCATAGCTAAATTATTGAATATGAAAGTTTTTCTTTTTGTTTTTTGAAATAAATCTTACCGAGTATTAATTCATTAATTTCACTGTGAGTCTACAGAAAAAAAAGAATGACAGAATTTTTCATCACCAACTCTTTTCAGTATTCCTTTTACACTATTGTGTATCAATTAAGTCTATGTGCTGGTCTTCCGCGACGACAACCTCATCCTGACATTCACTTTACAACAACAACCGCACAAACTCCGACAGGGTCAACTCAATTTTCGGAAAGGTGCACACCACTCAATCCTCATGCTGGTTCAAACACTGTGTAAAAAGTGAACACGACATTACAGCATCAGCATAGAAAAACCATTTTTTTTGGAACTTCTTCAGATCAATGACACCTTGGCACCCACAGTTTTTGATGTACACTATCAGTTAGACCAATTACCGTGTAGGATGCCGTTAATCTAGAGACGAATCATATTTTCAAATGGATATGTAGTTTTTCTACAAATGCATGCACTCCATGCACTAATGGCTTTCTTCTGTGGATTGTATAGAAGCGCTCAAGAAAAGATAATGAAAACCAGGTCTACGACAATTGGATAACGTCAATTAGTCGTAGTGTAGAATTGCTCACAATGTTGAAAATAAAAATCAGCAAAAAAAAGAATTTTCTTAGTATTGTGTAGATTGCACTCGGAGAGGTTCAGAAAATAACCAACAATCTATTCAAAGACAAGAAACATCAGATATGAGTGTAAATATGAAAATTTAATGCATTCTTCTAATTGAGCCGACACCAGAGTCAACAGTAGTTGCTTTAAAAATTTCTTCTAATTCTCTATAATCTCTCTTCATTTTAGAATTTCTGTCTACTGTGTCTTTTGGTATTCGACAGTGAATATAGTTTTCGTCCTTTCATAACATTTCGGTAAATCTAAAATGTGATTGTCAACATTTAAGTATCTATTACCAACGAGATTATCTGAGAATCGATTTTATAGGACAAATCTTCATTTTTCTAGATACTATCTCACCCTTGCGTGATACTTTATCTGATTGAATCATATACCTACAAATTGAGACTTGTGAGAACCAAAATAGAAACTACACTTTTGTCATATATACGACTAATTGTCGCTTTTTTGAAAAGAATTGACGATCAACAATACTTTTTCTCGACAAAAATAGTATAGACAATTATTTTTTCTAAAAAACTAACTGGTACAAATCCAAGTGAATAAATTATATTATGCATATCACGATCAAATACAAAATTTGCTAGATGAGATTCATATGTATAAAAAGATTCAATTAATTGTTGATAAATTTTTGATAAATCAAGATCAATTCTTCGTTCAATTGGTAATTTTGCAATAGCTTCTCGCAAACCTAAAAGAAGAGGAACTATCGATTATATGAAAGAATTTTTCGATCAATACCTTACGATGTTCAACATTGTAATTATCAATATTAATTTTATCTTGTGAATTAATTCGATGTTTTTTTGTTGCCATAGTAAAAGAAATTTTTATTTTGTTTTATTTTAATTAGATTGAAGCAATATATGATGATGTTTTTCTGTTTGAAGAATAGTTTCTTTTAACGTTTTTATTTTATCTTCACTTAATTGAATTTCTTTTTGTTTATTAAATAGATTTAAATTCAATTCAATTAATTTATTTTTTAATTCTTTTTGATTTTCTATTTCAGGTTGTTGAAGTTGTTTTAAACGTTCATTTTTTTCAATATTATATATCCATATAGCAATTGTATAAGCATCTAAACTTTTATTTCGAATATATTCTAATGAAATTTCATTTAAATGAAAAAATTTTATTCGAAATTCATTCATTATAGTTGATGATGGTTGATAAAATTGAATTTTTCGAATAAGATTAGGATTTATTTTTAATTCAGTTAGAAAATCATTAGTTTTTATTGAAAATAAATAAGCTAATGCTTGAAAAAATATTTTTAAACGTTTCGGTGCTCGATGCCAATGACGTAAATTAAGAAATGATCGATATGGAAATGAAATAAAATTTTCTTTTTGATTAATTATTTTATTAAATAATTTTGATTGTTTTATTTCTTCAATTTGTTTTTCAATAATTTGTGTTTCTTTAAATAATTGTAAATATTTTTCTTCTTGAATTTTAAATTCAGTTTCATGATTTGATAGAAGATGTGTTATTTCATTCATTGAAAGTCGATAATGATGTGATTTATCAAAATGATGACGAATCGTTTTAAAATCCTTTATTAAATTAATTGATTCAATAGAATTTCTAGAAGATAATTAAACATACTTTGATATCATTGACTGTTATGTCTAAGAATGTTGTTGTATATTCTTGTTGCATTGATTTATTTGTCAAATAAAATAATTCCCGCTTATGATTTAAAGTCAACAAAAAAAACAAAAATTTGAAATCATTCAAACCAGAAAAGTTATGTTTGAAATATTTTTTTTTAGTTTTACTTAGTAAAATTAAAGACTAACAAAAAAGGTATTTGTACTCACCTTGTGTAAGCAATAGAAAAAAAAACGAATTGAAAAGAGTCAGTAGACTTAATTCGATGTACATAAAAATGTGAAATGTCTACTAAAGATTAATACTAAAAAATGTAAAAATGAAAAATTATAAACGAAATAGAAAACTAATTTTAATGATAGGTAGAGATATCAATATGATAAATATTTTATTCGATCATTTCGTTGATATTTAAATATAAAAATCGAATCTGTTTTTCGTAATATTTTTTCTTTATTTTCAATATAGTCAGTTTTTATGTTATCGAAAATGGACTAGTGAATTCTCATAAGTATAAACGAAATAGTAAAACATGTAATAGTAGACAATCTAAATAGTTCATTTTGAAAAATTTCAACCACATGTAAAATTTTCGACTTTTTACACTATTTTCATCAATGGTTCGTTTCTCTCAAATTATCATATCTCATTAAACTTAGTGTACTCTGGTTAGACGCTAAATAGATCTCTAACTTAAAAGAATGTCTAGTTTAAGATTTGATGAACGTATACAACTATTCGTATACTTTTAGCTTAAAAGGTGTTGATTTAAAAACAATGGTTCTCATAGAATTATTTAAAGTTAATATTAATGATTGTGATCGAACTGTTTTAAATAAACTATGTGTTAATCATATAATTTTTATTGGTAAGCTAGGAAGTTATAGCAAAAAGATTAAAAGAATAAGTTTTATTTTGAATAATTTTATAATATTTGAACTAAAAAAATCGTGTTTTTCTAGCATTTATCACACAACGTGTTTATAATCATACGTAATAAGAATATAGAATATTTTTAGTAATAATGTACATGTTAGGTAGAATATAATATTTTTCCAGCGAAATACGACTTCAAATACAAATGATACCAATATTGAAATTTATATTCAAAAGAATGCAAAGTTTAGCAATATAATTAACTTCTCATAGAATGATAATGAGTTTCTATGTAAAAAATGGCTGAAAATTAGATTAATAATCTATTATAATGTATTATTTGAAATTTTATTTTTCACCCTTAGAAATAGGTTTCATTTAATTTTCATCTTTTTTAACTTATTTTAATCCGGTTAACGAACTTTAAACAATTAAAACAGATTTGAACTTATCAGTTGTAATTGATTTAACTTAAATAATCGATTAAAATAGATTGAAGACAAACGAAATCTGTCTTTACGGCTAGAAAATCTTATTAAAATCAGATTAAAATAGTGTCATTATAATAGAACCTCAAGCCAAAAATAATCGATTTTAATTTCATTTTGAGCCTTTTTTTATATAAGTTGGTGGATTACACTAAATGTAAGGCATCTGATTGAGACCTTCCATGGGTAGCCAACAGCAAATAACACGTAGGTCATAGGAACTTTCCACTAATCAGGCTTTGTAGACTCCTCATTTCCTGATCATGTTAATAAATAAAAAAATGCCAGTGCTACTGTAAAAGCATTGAAAAACTTGATACAGTTTGGCGTGCTGAAGTTATGATTTTTTTTTCTGTATTTAGATTGTAGCATTGTCATTGTTTTTATTAAAATGATCGTCAGTGAGCGCTCTGCAAAGTTTCGTTGACAAAAAGTTTTCTGAAAACTATTTATTTTTCGTTGTTGTGTATCCATAGAAGTCTTCGATATTATGTCTCATATTTTCGAACTGTCAGTAATTTTCTCTAATTCATGATTATTCAATGCATAACTAGTTATACTGTTCAATCTCGTTTTCACTTCAGTATAAAATTCAATAATGGTATCAGTTGTATTTCAGAACTGTGTCTCATTTAAAAAGCCTAATTTTTTATTCCGTATAATTAACTCTTTAATAATCGACGACGAAAATATGTATCAGGAGTTTTATCATCATTTTGTTACAACTCATCTTAGATTCATACACTAAGACGCGAAGATAGGCGTGTTGTATAATTATTCTATTTTAAGTACACGCATCTTTTGTCGGTAGTTAATGGGTTAATAAGGTTTTGTTCATTTTTGTACCTCATCACCAAAACTAACATTACATAAATAGAAATCATCGATATAAAATTCACCAGAATGAAAACTGCTGAGGTTCTGTCGATCATCTATGTTTGTAAGTTTTGCTTTGACGATCTAAATTTCGACGATAGTTGTGCTCATCAAAATAAAAACAGTCGCAATTCCAATTAACTAATTTTGATGAAAAACATACCGACCTATTTTTTTTTAATAGAAAAAAAACAGTATTCGTATTGCTGAATAAATAATTTCTTTGAATTTATTAGACTTCAGTTCGTTTCATAATTTACATTGGAATAGAATCTCATTTTTTTTTCTTAAAGTATCAACGAAAGAACTGTCGACGACAACAATCACTTATCTTATTTTTTTTTAATAAAAAAAAAACAGGATTCATTGCGCAGTAATGGAAAAACATAAGAATATAATTAGAAATCTTTTTGATTATGTTACAATGAAAATTTTTTTTCATACACTCAATTGTGAATCAATCACTTGATATATTTCATCCATCAGCACACGCATACACCTGTTTTTTTTTCTTTCCCATTTCTTTCTTACTTGTCGACGATGAAAAAGACGTAAAAGTATTTGTTTGAGCACTTCTTCAGTGTCTATAGTTTTTTTTCAAAATATGTAACAATGAAAGTTTTCTTTTCTCTTTTTGTTACACACTCTCACTCTTCATCATAAATTTAAAGACATCGAGCATGTTTGTCCTTTTTTCGATTTTGTATTCTATGTGACACAATTAATACATTTTTCTTTCATCGATTGAGATGACGACCACTACAACGAATAAATCAGACACAAGATTTCTCGGTTTACCGAAAAATAAAACAGGTTTTCTCAATTCGTTTGTTTTTATTTTCTTTAAACAGAATATAATTTCAACTATATTTCATCTAGGACTTTTTGCTGCTGATACTATTCATGAAGTTAAATCTACGAGAAATCATTTAATCACTGTTCCTGCATTATCACCACAATTCCGTAATAATGCTTCCACAAGTGTATTATTAGCATCAGCAGAACAAAATCATCATCAATTACAACAATATCGTCTATCCGCAAATGAAATTCAACAATATTATCCACTAGATGGAAATAATGCAAATACTGTTGATTCTTCAAATGATTCACGTTTAACATTAAGTGGTATAAGAAATGGTTTTCGACCATCAACAGTACGTCATCAAAAATTTCGTTTAACAACAGCTACAGCACAACGAAATAATATTCAATATGAAAATAAAGATTCACCACCAAAATCAGCATTTGTTCAATCACATGCTTCAGCTAAATTAAAATCTGAAATCGATCATATTAGTAGTAAATTAAGAAAACATGGAGAATCAACTGCAAGCCTTCGTTTTCAAAATAATCGAGTAAGATAAATGTTTTGTATTTTATAAAAATCTTCATCATACTAAACAGAATCAATTTTTTTATCTACACGATATTGAACTCTTAAAAAAAAGTACATTGCAAATTTTGTCAAATATTTACTTTTCATTAATTAGTTACTTCCTCCTGAAATTTGTTTGACAATTTGAGGTCAAAATCTATTGTTTATTTGACCTTCTTAATTGATTAAGACCAATTCAATGATAACAATTTCTATTCTTGTCTTTTTTTTAAATAATAGCACAATTAATTTTAATTCTTTTAGGATTTGGATTGTACTCCACAAAGTGATTTTTCCTATTCAACATCATGTCGTCTGTCTTCTGCATCAACTACTTATACAGCTGATCGTATTCATCAACGCTTTTCATCAGCTATAACCAACGTTTCGGCAAATATAGCTTCAACACTGCCCGTTATAAATGATACATCTAATCAAACTTCACAAATTATTTCGGGTATTGCTCCAACATCACCACGGCCACCTGTACTGCATGAAACAGATGATAACCAAAAAGATACAATAGATTATCGAACAACTCATGCTTATCAGGTTCCACAGCAATCAAATGTTGGCAGTGAAAGTATCTTTCTACCTGATGCACCAATAGTCCCACCAATGAACGTACGGTCAGCTAAATATGATCGTCGTCAAAATGAGTCTAAATCGGTTTCGTGTCCATTCTATGTTATGTATTTAACAAATTTAACAATGCAACAACGACAAAATAAAACTGACAATAATAGCAATAATAATAATAATAATAATAATAATAATAATAATAATAATAGCGTACATGATGTAACACCATTGGGAATGTCATCAATGGCACGTAAAGTACCATTTAATTCACGTATAAGTACAGCTCATGTAAAAAATCAATCAGTTCGACGACAAGTCAATAGTCCAATCAGTATGAATACTTATTCAACTATAGAAGATGAAGATTATATGACAATGTCAACATCATTTCATAATAATAAACGTTTATCAGCTAAAGTGTCTAACAGTGAAAATGAAAATTTTCATATGTTACGAGATATTCTCCGGACTTCATCATGGAATCATGTACAAGTATAACATTGGATGTGTTTTTATTTTTATTTTAAAAATAATTTTTTCTTTTTTTTTTGATTTATTCCTTTTTTTTTACTAAAATTTTCCATTGTCATTAGAAAAAAAAGAAAAACAAAATCATTATGATATAAATCATAGAAGTTTTTCCTATTTTGAATATTACATCGATTCGGTTATTGTTGTTACTGGTTTTGATACTAATGAAGAATATTTATAGAATGGCTGTTGCATTTGTCGATTAGATAAACGACCTGAATTTGCTTGTACACTTGATCGATCGGTTACACTGGAACGAAATGATATAGGTCCTTTATCATGTCTTTGACTTGAAAAATGACTCGGAAATGATGATGATGATGAACGTCCTTTATCTTGACAACAACATGGTACTAATGATGGCAAAATAGGTATTGCTGATACACAAATTCCTATAACAGAACGACGGAATTTGTCACTAGTTAATAAATATAAGAAAAAGTTTGTTGCATGTTGTAAATCGCTTAATTGAAACATGATTACAGTTAATATAGTTAAACGTCGATAACGTAACCATTGGTAATAATCATTTTCCGTGGGTAGTTTATTAAAGCCATATGTAAGATCAAGTACAAAATAGATACTATTTGGTAATGTAAGAAGAAGAAAAACAACGGCAACAGCAAGTAACATTAATGTTATATGTCGATGTCGAGAACGAATAACTTCCGTCTTTTGATTACTACGCATTTCAATATCTTGATTATCTGTTCTTTTCTTTTGTTGTTGTAATCTACTTAAACGATTTCCACTTCCAACTAAAAAATTAAAAGAAAAATTTCATTCAAAATATGTGTTTCTTTTTTTAATCTGTTTCCTATGTAAGAAAAAAAAAAAAAAAAAAAGAGAAAGAAAAACAACCACGAAGAATTGAATAGCGTATTATCACGAAAAATATACCTTCCGGCTAAATATATTCTTTCCTTTCGAAGTTAATCATCAGAATAAATGATATTTATCATGTGTGATTTGCCTAAAGGGATATTGGCAATTATAATGAAGTTCTCTTGACTGTATTAGTGTTCGTCTGGAAATTCTTCTTAATAGACTTACTTTTATCATTTTCTTCTATATTATTTGTTTGAATTCATGTTTTACAATCAACTTTCTTTATGATTCATATCAATTTAAAAAAAAAAATTAAATATTATTAAGTTATTTTTCTGCTTACCTCGTTCATTATTTATATTATTATCCATTATTTTTCGAATATTTTTATGTGAACCTCGTCGATTTTGACGTAATTTATATATAATTAAAACACTTAATGTTAATATAAGTATAAAAGGTAAAAAACACCATATGACGAAATCTACATAACGCCATATACGTTGTATTGAACCATAACGACTTATATCATAATAACAAAAATGTTGCTTATGATCTTTTGGATGTTTTAAACTATCAATAGTCCAAAAATGATGAAAGGAAATAATACTTGTCATAGCAGGAAGAAATATGCAAACATGTTTTGCACGAGTTACCGTGCAAAAATCAGAAACTCTTAAAGGAAACCAAACAGCAAAAAACTTGTCAGCTGTCATAATAACAAGTATCCAAACATTCGTATAGCCAAGAACGTATATAAGAAAATAAAGTATTTTACATAATATAGCATGAGCTGCAATAAAGGTTGGAAAGTATACGAGGTTTTTTGTTAATAATACAAGTGGATCAAGGACACTAAGAGCAAGCATGAAAAAAGTTGTTGATGTTCCACGCATATGACGACTTCGTAATGCAATGAAGGATAAAAAATTACATATAAGTGATACTGGTAAAATAACCAACGGTAAACTTCTACGTAAAAAATCTGCTATCCATTTTTCATTCCAACATTCAGATAATAATTCATAAGATGTGTCATTGGTTGTTAAGGAAACATTTCGGCAAAAATCTGGTACTCTACCCATGTAAAATGTGATTACAATAGTAATTATCTGAAAAGCGACAGTCGTTTATCAAGACTAATATAGCTGAGTATAAAAAATATCCTTTTATGTCATGTCTTTCTTCTCTCAATGACGATGTTTCGGACACCGCTAATAAGATTACGTACTCATATGCATATATCTATGGATATATATATATAAATACATATTTTTATCAATCGTTTCATCTGTAGATATACATATCAATATAAAAACATTGATAACAAAAATCTTTATTCGATTCATATGAATTTAGAATACTGTTCTTGATTAATAAAAAAAAAGATTTATATGCAATTGTTGTTTGTTGTCTTATTTTGGATGAAATCTTTCTTTTTTAGTATAATTAACATTTGTATAATAATAGATCTGAGTAATAAACTAACACTTTTCGATTATAAATGCAGTGTAGAAAACTATCTATTTTTGTCTTGCTTAAAAAAAAGAAAAACGACTTAACAAAAACTAGTTATTCTATCATATGAATAGCCTTTTTTGCATCTGAATTATGATGATTTATTCCACTAGGAAAATATGAAGAATTCTCTATGGTATAGATATAATAAAACGAATAAGTAGTTTAGGCAAATCCCAAATGGCTAATGCACGGTTGAACTCACATTTGAATAGAAAATAATATAATACTACTGGATCAAAAGAAAAAAAAAACTTCGTTTTCCTTACTCATCAACATATATATAAAGACACTTATTTAAACGATCTCTATTTCCATAATATATAGAATAAATTTCGTTTCCTGTCAAAACATATACATATGACTTCATCATTCTATATTTATATGTAAGATTTATTTTAATCTATTTCCAAGCAGTCAACCGTATATAAATATAAATATATATATGTTTTTTTAGGTTAGTTTAAAAGTTCTAGAACATAAAAATAACAAAAATGATTAAAAAAAAAATTAAATTCTCTCTCTCCAGAGAAAAATAGATTACTGAATGGAATTGTCTATATTTCACTGAACTCAACACATTTTAATATAATTAGATACTAATTAAATATTATTACAAACGTTTTTTAAATGCTCTCAGAAAATGAAGTAGAAATTGTCAAGCTTTATTGTCTTACCAGTTGCTACAAAAGATTGTATTAGCATATATATATAGATGTGTATATATAGTCTTATGTTCGACTGATGTTAGTTGTAATAGCTCTATAAACACTTGTGATCTGTCTGTCAACGAGAGCAGACTAATGGTTATATGTCGTTGCGCATTGAAGAGTCAAGAAAAAGCAAACGAGAGATAGAAATCATCAAGTAAAGAGAAGACGACAGGAAGACAGAGAGAAAGAGAGAGACAGAAAGAGAAAATGGGTAGAGTTTTTTTTATGAGAGAAGGCAAAAAAATGCATATCATGCAAACGGAAATTGTCAACGACAGGGCTCAACTTAGCAAAAATCAAATTAATACAAAACTATATATCTCACTCTCGTTCATATGCCATCATCGACATCGATTGAATATATATCTTGTTCGTTGAAGTGTAGGATATAGTTCGTTCAACTTGTTTCTGTCTTTCTCTTTCTCTTTCTCTTTCTCTTTGTCTTTGTCTTTCTCTATATTTGCATCGATCCGTAAATGTTGAAGGTCTAATATGACAAGAAAATAAGTGGGTGGAAATACACATTAGAAAAAAAAGAAACCAGTCTTTCATACTACGTAGAAAAATGCCGTTTACATCATTTTCTCATAAGAACCAATAGATTATTAGAAAGGAAAAGAATTAGATTATCAAGTTCAATGGTTTGCATTGTTATTATTTGTAAGCACTTGATTAAATAAGTAAAACCTCATCAGAATATTGTAATACTTTTCTTTCTATCAATAAACAAATTATTTTTTATTATTAACATATAAGAATATAATCTATTTCATTAAAAGAACAAACAACGAAGTTTACAGTGACAAATACCGGAAAAAGGAAACTTTCGTCAATCAAATTTAATCAAATCTACATTCTATTTATGCCATGAATACGGCTGAAACATTTTTAGTATATTTGTTTCGCATCCTCCAAAAAAAAAACAAATTTTTATAAAATCATCAACGCATATCTCCATGTATTTTCTGCATCAATTCATCTATTTAAAGAAGATTTCTTCTTTTTAAACGACAACAATATCGTCATTTTAAAATTATTATCTATTTTAGTGCTATTATTCCAAGCAATGATAATACTAATCATTTATTTTTTGGAACTAACAATTTTATTAATTACAAAAAAAAACAGGAAATAGTTTACTGAAAATTTCTATTTTTGTTGGATTATCCAATGTAAGACAGTTGATGATGGCAGATTACTGAAGACAGATGTTGTATTATGTCAAGAAAAAAAAACAGGTCATAGATGATTTGTTAAATGTCCTAGTCAACTGTTGTTGCCTTGAACACTATTGATTGGTAGGTCATGCGGTTCTTTTCTTTTATATATTTGAATCCAGTTAATCGAGATTAACTATCCATAGATATCTAGTACCGAAATTTTATTCATCCAACTAAAAGAATCATGAAAAAAACATATATACAAACGAAGAAAAGTATTTTATATATGTAAAATATTGCTTTTTCATATAAGTATGTGGTATACAACTATACAAAATAATGAAGGAACAAAATATAGTGCTGGATTACAGATCGAGACAACGACAAGAAAAAATTTTTTTTTCGATGTGAAACAACGAACATCTGACAAAGCCCTCTCCTATATTTTTAAATTCTCATCTCAGATAACAAAGAACAACAACAACTATGGAATAATTATTTGCTTGTATAAAGTTTTTCATAGGCTGGTGGTGATACATGTTCAATGTGAATATCATCATTTCGTTGTGGTGGTGCACTTGGTTGAGGTAACATTGGACGACTTTCTGGTGATTGAACCATAACAGTATTCCATGATTGAGGAGGAGCTTGTTGTTGATAATATTGAGGTTGATAACCAGATGGTCCTGTATGAACATATATAGGTTGTGGAACTTGAATAGTAGTTGGAGCTACAATTCAAAAATAAAATGAAATAATTATAAATTTCTTTATGATTTCTTGAAAGCTTTTTCAATTCACCTAGATTTCGTTTTCGATTATTACCACCACAACAGCATTTAACACAAATAATTATTGTTGTAACAAGACAACAAAGCATGCATAATGAACCTATAACTAACACTACAATGGCCACCTAAATAAAAAGCAAACAGCAATTAGTAATGAATTACTCTTTAATTCATTTTTATGAGGAAAAGAAAAGCTCTTGAACTTTAAAGCAAAAGATTGCATTCAGAACAATTATAAAGTATTGTGTTAATATATAAGATAGAATATAAAACTTAAGTGTATTGTTCTCCTCATTGAGTACACTTTTAAACTTAGAAATAATGAAACAAATATGAATCGTGCATCCTATGGAGAGACTCTTCATCCTGGCACAAAAGTTTTGTTTTTAGCATTAAAAAAGTATTTATCATAAAAGTTTGATTTATATATAAAACCAAAACTTAAAAATTTATAGTGTCTGAAACTTCATCGAACGATTTTTCTATAAAATTAAATATCCTTTCAAAAACTTCGCTCAAAAGAAAAGAAGAATTTTTCAAGATTGAGATCCCTCGTTCAGAACATTCCTGAGTAACTCTAGATAGTTCTTTTAATAATTACAAGAGATAAATAGAGTTTTTAGATAAAGTGTTTGTTTACTTTTGATACACTATAAAGTATTGCTGATGAGTAAAAAGTTTTGATTTAGGGTGCTGTTTTCGAATATGAGCTTAGAAATTTTGTTTTAATGAAAGAGTATTTGAAAAGTCCAAAAAGAGTAGTTTTTACGAGACATTGTTCCGCACATTTTATATTTTTACTATTGCTATTCGAAACTAATGACTAGGACTTTGATGCATGTATCCGCTTGTAAATCAGAAGCTATCCTATAAGATTCACGATTGGAAGTTTTTATTGTATTTCGACGGAGAATCTAAATTTTTGAAAAATCGACCAACGTTTTTTGTCGCAAGGAACTCTTGACAAAATACCTGTAGTCACACTTTCATGGAAGCTACAGCCTGGTTCAACATTACATTTTGTAGATAAGTATTCACCCTACAAAACGATCAATTCGAACGATTTTCCAAATGTTCAAAAAGGAACTTATAGAGTAAACAAAAACATGTTGATGCACCATCAAAAAAAACAAATTTCAAGTGTGTCTAAAGGTCTTCATTACTCTCGAACAAAAACAGACACAACATATTTAAGTTCATATTCAAATTCTGGTCGTCGTGACTCACAGTTTTTGATTCGTGGAAAATACTATCTCACCAATTAAAAGCAAACACACATCTTGTTCAAAAACTTTTCAATCACCCGTTAGTGTATTTTCCGTATGAAATCTTAATACTCTACCTTTTTTGCCATTCCCAAAATTTCTTCACCACTAAAATACAAAAATATCAGTTACAGTAGAGAAAAACACTAAGAATATTGGAAATAGAAATTCTCAAAAGCAAAAGTCAAGCTGATCCATATTAGTGATTATAATAGCCATAGATAGGCGCCACACTTCAACAGAATAGAAAAATTCATTAGCATAAATATGTGCAAAAAGTTGACAAGCAAAAAGAAACAAACATTTCGTTCTGTTTTTTTTTTCAAATACATTCGATGAAATCATTTTTTATTTTATATACTACATTTTTTCAAATTCGTCGTTCTCACTATAAATAACAACAATTAATTGTGTAAAGGTTACACGAAAAAAAAATAGGGAGGTGATATATAGTGAAGCAGTCTAATCTATGTATTAAGTTTAAGAAAATAATATAAAATACCTTTCTGTATTTTTCAGTGCTTTAGCTACACTAATCACGACACCAGCAGTTTGTAAAATTCTATAAAAATCAATAGAGTACATATCGTTCTCTCACACAAAAGCTTTGAAACAAAAAATAAAATCATCAAATTTAATCAAGTAACTCACTCTAACACTTGACGACGTTCACGTTTATTGATTTTCGACTTTTCAACTTCTGTATTAAGACGATTAACTCTATAAGAAAAAGTAAATTAAGATTTTTCGTTTGAGTTCACTTTACCTGATTAAGATTTTTTCAGTTGTTGTTTGCGTGGATTGGTCAGGAGAATCATTAGTAAGAATATTATTATTTGGTTCATGTTCAGCAACAGCAATATCTAGGAAGAAGAAAAACATCCAATAGAACAATATAATTCAGATTTTCTATTCGTACTGATTACTGATTGTTGAACATTGTTGACATCAGTGTGATTTTCGGCATTTATTAAAGTAAACAGAAGACTTGTTGAGAATATCAAACCAAATAAAAACATTCTGAATATAATGACTTTCAACGAATGAAATTTGATTAGTATATCGCTTCGGTTTTATATAAACAACGATGAATGAATCAGAATGAGGTAATTGTATTTTCTCTTTTAAATTAGCAGTTGTCATCCTTATGAATCACAAGAATTTTATTAAATAACCAATCAACCCAATTCCATAAAAAGATGGCAGTAGTAATAGAATTTCTTGATAAAACAAACTAAAGAAAGACTTCAAGCTAGTATAGAAAAGAGAACGATAAATGGCAAAAAAATTCACTATTGTTTGATTTCAAGACAGGTGTTCTTTTTGATATCAAATTACTTATCGTTATTTACTTTTATAGACATGCAAAACAAAAAAGTAACATTACTGAATGACAATAAAAGAAATTGGTTTGTTTCGAATAGCAAACATTGAACGATAAAAATTTTAATGACTTTTTGTAGCTTTATAAATAACATATTGAATTTAGTGACAATCAGCTCTTGCTATTAACACGTTTTTTCATGATCTTTCTTAACTATGCATTCTTTGTTCAAGAAGCAAATGATTCATGCGGATGTGTTTATAATTATTGAAAACAATCTAATCTTTCATTATTTATAGTTATTATTTCATCGTATGCTATTCTAGTCAATATTATTTTTTTGTGTTTATAGGTAGATTACTTAGTTGAACTTAGTAAACAAAGTTAGAAATTATAATAAACGAATATCTCTAGAACAATAACTATGACAGTCATAATTCCAAAGACTGTTTGTTCATGAAAATAGTATGTGTCCGAAGAATGATAAGAGGTTTATCTTTATCTTTTTACATGTTTCTGTTTTCCTTCTCGATATTGAAAAGAATCATCGACCTTCTAGAATTATAAATCTTTATCAACTTTATTCATCCTTAATAATTCTTTTGCACTTTACACGGAAGAAGTGAACTTCATCTTTTTTCTATCTGAGTGCATACCGATGCATGTAAATTGCTACGATCATATCGGCTCGATACATCTTATAATTTAGTTTCCTCTTATTTTTCATTCTTTTTTCTCAAGATTATCCTACTTTATCTGCATTTTGAAACGCGATCGAAAAGTAAAGATAGAAATTCAGACCCACTTGTCTTTGTTCCCGCTCTTTATTGGTCATGACAACCTTGCTGATATACGATCAAAGACCATATACAATTAATATTTCGTTATAATATATGAACAAGTTCCTTATTGCATTTCTGAAGTATTGAGCAAAAAGACAATGAAGAAATGTGTTCCAACATACATAGAATACAACAATCTTTCTCTGATTAGCAAAAGCAGCTATATTGTATTTCACATTTTAATCCCGCAGGGATTGTACTAACAGCTTCCTTTCTTCTCTATGAGTGGCACCATCTATCTTCCAATTTAGAGAGAAAATACAAATGAATAAGAATAACTTTTCAAAAGGATAGAATAGAGTACATGATTGACCTATAATGTTGGATGTATCGGCCGAATCTGACACCTTAGGTGAATAGATTGTACTCACATGTCTAGCATATATCACTGTTGTTCGATAACATCCGATGAAGATTATTTTTTTTTCTATTCAATCTATTTTTGCAAAAAATTTTCATTCTTTTATTGTCTTTTCAATTCATACTTTTTTACAGTAAAACATAAATATCGATATGTGTACTATTGATAAAGTGAGTCGCAAAATGTAAGTTACTATTTACTTTTGTCATAAGTTCAATAGTACGTTATTAATAAAATCAAATTTCTAATTTATTATGTAACTTTTTAATTCTTGATAAATGTCACTTATTCGATAAAGATTTATTGCAATTCTATGAAAAATGTATTTCGTCGAACTTCAGCATCATTTAAGTGTGATTTATGCATGATCCTTGATGAGAATTTTACTAAAGTTTCAATTGTAAATTTTTCTTTGAAGTCAAAATCACTTTGACAATCAAAGTATTCGATTCTGAAGTATCACATTGCTATTATCGTCAAAGTCATTAGAAGCATTATTAAATTGAACACAATGTAAGATATAAATTTAATCTTTAAAGTTGAAATATTTAAAAATGATTATTCATTTTATGGTTCATAATTATTTCATATTTCATGTGAACATAAATACTTAACTTTAAATTATGTTAATCTTAGATACAAATAGTTATATAATATATACTTTAATAATCAAATCAATTCTCTTATCTATATATGATGACAGAAAAAGATAGTTATTCTGTCTATGCTAGCACTTTATCATTCACTTATCACAAATATCTATTTGTCTTCATTGATTTTCTTTTTTGCTATACTGTATTATGATTTAACACTAATAGAAAGATGTACTCGTAATATTAGTCAAGTCTACATAAGAACATGATGTTGTATAAATAATAAAAAAATGTCATATTTCTTCATTAAATATTTCAATATTTCTTAGTCAGTTTATGTCTTGAATAACCCAATATATGAAAATTTTTTTTAATTTTATTATTTTAATAAATTGATTAATTCTGTTAGTCGTTAACTTGTTTTTTACTGTTACATTTATTGTTACTAAATTTTGACTTTTCGGATTTGAAAATTTTTCATCTTATCGAATAATTTTTTTTTTGTAAATAAAATAGATATATTTAAATGGACTATGAATAATCTCATACCAATAGACCATTTTTAGTATAGAATTTATTATTGACACGTTCATTTGAATAGATAAGATCTCAACTCATGTATTCAATGTTGTCTGTTCAGAACAATAGATGAAATTTTATCTCTACTGATGTAGTTTAATGATGAATAATAACCTATTTTGATAATATCACTCAAACAAATGCATTTTTCTTTTCTTAATTACCATAAATTGTCTAAAAGTGTTTTTTTTTCAAATGATCGTTTCTATCACATGATCCAATTTTGTAACTGTTGCAAATCATGTGACTAAGTATACGAAAAAACACATCAGTTTTTCTAATCATCTGAAATCTGAATTTTTTTTAAAAACATGATAACTTTTAGTATAAAATCTATTTTTGAAAAATTTATAGTATGAACACAAATTTTGCGTTTTGATTACTCTTTTTTGTCTTTTTTCTCAACAATCAAACACAAAACAACGACTTACAATAAAAAAAACAACAAAATGTAAATAAGTTTTTTCTTTATTAACTATCGAACTTGTTGAAATGACGGTGATGCATTAGCTTTATTTAATTGAAAAAGCCATTTAATAATTCTTGCATTACGTTCAATCACAGTTAATGATGTTGATGGTACAACTGTTCGTTTTATATTTGATAGACTATTAGCACTATCAAGTGTTGTTTGATCCGAAAGAGATAATAAACTAACACTTTCAAATGCACTACAATCGGAAAAATTTATTGTTGAAATTGGTGTTGATATTGACTGTGTAGAAGATTTTAATGAAAGATCAAGAGAATCTAATCGAAATCGATCATATTCATATTCAATATTATGATAGGGAGAACGACGTGGTTGTCTAAGAAAAAAACAATAAAAACATCAATAAATAAATGATTAATTATATTAAAAATTAATATAAAATAAACTTACGCTATTCGAAATGATGGTGTCATTCGTTGTTGTGCATTTGATATTTTATTATTTAGAAGTGTTTGTCGATTATGTAAAACTTGTTGACTTTTAACAAAAAATGGTTTTGTTTCATCTAATAATTCTGTTGCCGAACGATGTGAACACTGTTCTATTTAAATAAGAAATAGAACATATAAGTTTAGATTCCATTAAGTTCACAAAAAAAAAACTCTATCACAAAAAAATCAATTAAGGTATCATTTATTACTCTTCGAAAGTAAATGACTTTCTATCATAAAGACTTCAATGATTTATGACTTAGACAAGGTTATTTGACATTTACCAGACATGATCATAATGATGACATACAGATTTTGCTCAGGTTTTTTTCTTTTTTTCTTTATAATGATATGATTTAAATGACATCTTATTACATCACCAGTCTATATCAGATGCGTGTCAAAATGAATCGTTGACTCATCCGATAATCAGTCTCGTCGAGTTCTTTTGTTAAGATGATGATCAGATGGAAGATAAGTGAGACGACAGATGATTTGGAAACGATGATGATGATGATGATGACGATCAGTTGATAAACATGCTTGCTTCATTAACATTTCTCATGTAAACATAAACGACCTAATCATTGCTTCTTTGGGTAAAGCTCCTGTCTCATCGTAATCAATACGCAACAAAACATTGTTAGAATAAAAGAGAATGTAAAGAAAGAAAAGCTTTTTGATCAATACCGACTACTTGAAAGATGAGAATTTCGAGGATAGGATTAACTTAATATTAAAATCGAAAAACTTACTTGAATTTGAAGCTGCAGTAGTTAATCGAATGCGTTCTAATTTAGCATAGAATTCATCAGTTTTTGTTTTATCACTATTGTTCATGAGTCGTGATCGTCGTCTATCAATGTAGTGATGCTGATGTTGTTGCATCTTCTGCGTATTCTTTGTATGTATGTGTTCAGTTGTTCGTCGCTCACGATTACTACTCTCCCTGTCTCTCTCTATTCACCGACGATATTTGGAGTAATGAGAAAAATGACTACGAACGGGCAAAGAGAGAGAGAGAAAAGATGAGGAAAGTAGAACAATAAGAGAGAAAGCAAGAGACAGAGAGAAAGAAGAAAATTTGTCCAACACTAAGAAAAAAGAGAAAGCGAGACTGAAGAAATAGCCAAATGTACGTGTCTACCTTGAATTTAGAAATAAGTTGAGCAGGCAAAAAAAGATAACCTTGGCCATAGCAGTTCAAAGCACGGAAAAAGAATCGGACCTGTCCCCTTCGTTTTTTTCCTATTACATCATTCTTCATTATGCAGTCCAACCTGTGATACATGTTACGGATCGAGTTCGACATTTATAGATATATCATCTGTTTCAACTGTTTATATATGATTGACTATTCATCAATTTAATTGTCGATTTTATATTTGCATGTATA